ACACACACACACACACACACACACACACACAGAGAGAGAGAGAGAGAGAGAGAGAGAGAGAGAGAGAGAACGAACCCTGAGGTATTAATATTCCCGACTGGTATACTGGCCAGACTCTTCCCAGCCAGCTTCCACTTTGCTCTCTCATCCATGTCTACAACTAATTCTTCTACCAAACGCTTCCCTTCTGTCCACCCCAGGGGATTTTGAACTCAGGCACTGAATCCAACAAGCTTCCCAAGGAACTTACAACAGCCTGTTTTACAGAGAGTAAATGCTGCTGAGAGAGAAAATTGTCAGGCCTCGGTGTTCCAGAGCAAGAGACATTCCTTCATTCCCAGAGAGACCCTGGGGCTCAGCAACCAAGCCACATGAGCCCTCCGCTGCCAGAATCCAAGCTCTAGGCCGCGCCTCCCTCACTACTGGGCCCTGGACAGCGAGGCTGCTGCTCAGAACCCCTCTCCTCAGGGGGACAATCCTCAGGGCTGACCCACCTCACCTGCTCCCTCAGTCACTCAAGCCCTCCATCCTCTGTCACAGCCTGGCTCTGTCCCCTCCCATGCCCCATGCCCCAAGCCCCAACCTCCCAGGACCGAGTGTCTCAGGGTTCCTGCCCTCCACCAACCCTGACTAGCCTGGAAGGCAAGTGGCAAGGATGTGGTCAGCAGGGTGAGCCCTGAGAGCCGGCAGAATGGTGTCCACGATGCAGGGAACCAGAGTGGGGGAGTGGGGAAGGCAAGGGGTACAGGGGTGCCTCTTCCAGGCCACTGCTCCGCAGCTCATTCTCCTCTGAGGTTATTCCCTGACCCATACTCCTCTGGACCCCACCCCAGCTGCTTCCTCTTCTCAGGGGTCTCCACCTACTGTTCTGTGACCCCCCTGCAAATCATCTTTTGAAAGGCAGCCCGTGTGGTGATTGTAAGCGTGGGTTTAGGGTCAGGAAGCAACCCCGTAGCCAGACTCAATTCCCCTCCAGGCCTCCATCCAGGGCTGCAGAAACAGCTAGCGATGGCTGGCTGAGCGGGCCCCTCTGCAGCTGCCACCTGGGCTTGTGGGTTTGTTTCTCCAGCGTTAGGAAGGGAAGGTGATCTGGGAGACACCAAGCAAAGAGCAGGAGGACCTTTTCTGTCCCTGGAAGTTGAGGAGGGAGATGACCACGCAGAGGCTGGGCCTTCCAGCTCCACCGGCGCCTGACGCCCTCCCTCGCCTGTGACTGCCACCCTGGGAGGCTCTTTAAGGCTCTGTGCACAGCCCCCCTCACAGAGGGGAGGGCGCCTGCCAGGTGCTGCCAGGTGCTGGACTCCACAGGACAGGTAGAACAGAGACGACTGCGGCCACTCAGCAAGCGCCTGTCCACTTGTGCCACCCTTTTCACAGAATCACCTTCATCTAGTCCCCACAGCCATCTCTTGACATAGGTACTATTCTCATTCTGTAGACAAGGAAACTGCGACTCCAAGAGGGAAGGCGTGTATGCAGATCATACAACTTATTAGGGACAGAGGCAGGACACGGCCCCACAAACACAGGGGGCAGCTGCAAGGGGCCTCTCTTTCCATACAAGCCACTGCTTGCTTACCCACCCAATTTCTAGCGATTTCTACAGCCCTGGGATTGAGGCCTGAAAAAGGATTGAGTCTACTATGGTGTTACTTCCTGACAAACTCTGAGAGGGAGTGAGAAGGCCAAGTGAGGGCCTGCACCAGGTACCCCCAGCACCCAGGGAGCCCCTCCTCCCACTCAGCCACCCAGAGGCCGGGTGCTGGTAGGGTCCTCTCGCTTCACAGACCCTGCACCCCAGGCCAGACCCTGCATAAAAAGAGGCATCCACAGTGCTCATATTCCACCAGGCTCAGACATGGTAGCCCCAGGAAGTCACATCCATCTGGGATATTCCCACCTCAGCCTTTTCTGGAACATCTTGTTATGCGCACCCACAACAATATCAGCCATGAGCACTGCCAGGGTCACTGTACATAAGGAGGCAGGAGGACCCCCAGAGCAAGGGCTTTCTGTGGGCTCACCTGGCATGCTGCATGCCCGGCACTGTCGGTGGACTGGATGGTTGGGGAGGCCCCGGTGGAAGCCGAACAGAATGAATTTTTAGGAAACTCTGCCACTCTGGTCCTGGTGTCCCTGGGTTTCATGTTTCAAAGCTGTCTTGGCCTAAACTAGTTCTGTCTCATTTCAGGATCTTCCAAAAGAAATCGTCAAGCAAGGTGCTAAACAGCCAGATCCATTCAGCTCCTGCACTCTGGAGGGCTAGAATGCAGGGTAAATGGACCTGGGGTCCCAGCACCTTTTACCAGCTTCCCTAGCCTGGCCCTTGAGACCCTGCTTGACAAGATCCTGTCCACTGACCAGCCCATCTTGAGTTACCCTGCGTCTCCCTCTGTGCCCTACCTTCAGCGCCTCCAAGCTCCGTCTCACCCACATGTGCCCTCTTGCCTGAGGGCCAACCCCTTCCTTCCCCCAGCTAGCCCCTACTTCACGTAACACTTTCCCATGTGAATTTCAAAAGCTAAGTGCAAGGATTAGGTTCCTCTGAATTGGTTGAGATCTTTCAGGATTTCTATCCATCCCCCAGTGTCCTGTCTATTTATCTCAATTTATGATGCCCACACTTCTTCCCAATAATCCTGTTGTCTTTCTTGGTGCGGTTGTTGCTCCCTGTAAATTGTCATTAAAGAGGTTGGATAGGAATGAGCCTGCAGCCCATGACTAGAGGCTTCTCTCCTGGAGGCTGACATTGATCTACCCAATGCTAATGGCAGAAGGATTAGCTGGTTTTCTAGTTATTGATTACTATGGAACAAATTACTTCCAACATGGTGATGAAAAATGCCAACCATTTTCTTCTGCTCACAGATTCCTGAGTCCGGATTCTGGACAGAGCGCAGCTGAAATGGCTCTTCTCTAGGCCATGTTTAGAGCTTCTGCGGGGAAAAGGAGACAACAGGGATGGGAGAAGGAACTGAAGAGTTAGGGGCTGGAATTATCTACAGGCTTCTTCATTCCATATCTGGTCCTACGAAGGACTCAAAGACTGAGCTGAGTGGGAACTGTCACGTGCAGAATGACATGTGGCCTCTCCATAAGGCTTGGGTTTCTCATAGCAGGGCAGCTGGGTCCCAAGAGTGAGAATTCCAGGAGAACCAGATAGAAGCTGTGGGATCTTTTATGTCCAAGCCTCCGAAGTCACAAAACATTACTTTCTCCATACTCTATTGATCAAAGCAGTCACGAGACTGTCCTGATTCAAGAGGAGGAGCATAGGCCCCACCTCTGGATGGAAGGAATGTCTGACAATTCTACAATAGCCACAGCAGCACTGGACGCCTACAGTCAGATGCAGAACCACTTAGGAGTCCCCTTGATTCAGGGCATGGGCCCTACTTGGCAGGCTACTCAATGGCGATAAGTAATCAAGAATAAGCAGTGCTGAGAGGCCTCTGACATTCCTGCAGAGAGGCTGGGGTGTAGGCCAGGCTACCACGATAAGGATTGTCTAACAGAATGAAGGCTCAAAGTGGATACTAGGCCTCCTGAAAAAGGCAGAAGCCCTATTATCACAACTGGAGCATGCAGGATGTCAGACCAGCAGTGTGACAAGATGCCATCACACAGGTTAGCTGAGCACCTTCAGTCCCTCTTCCTGAGATCAGGAGAGCTTGTCAAATGCCCATGCTGATGCATATTCCTGATCCCACAATTTAGACATTACCTTTCAAATGCCTTTTTTTTTTTTTTTTTTTGAGATGGAGTTTTGCTCGTGCTGCCCAGGCTGTACTGCAATCACACAATCTTGGCTCACCACAACCTCTGCCTCCCCGGCTCATGTGATCCTTCTCAGCCTCCTGAGTAGCTGGGATTACAGACATGCACCACCATGCCTGGCTAATTTTGTATTTTTGTAGAGACGGGGTTTCTCCATGTTGGTCAGGCTGGTCTCAAACCCCCGACCTCAGGTGATTCACCCACCTCGGCCTCACAAAGTCCTGTGATTACAGGCATGAGCCACCTCGCCTGGCCTCAAATGTGCACCTTTAATCATCTCAGCAGAAATGTTTCCAGTGATCAACGTGGATCTCACCAAACTGGGAAAGGGGTAGGAAATACACAAATCAAGAGGAAAACAGGAGAAAGCAAATGGAGGCAGTCATTAGAATTATTCCTGAGTTCCTCTAGAGCTGCTGCTAGAAGGGAGGTGGGATTCCAGGGCCAAGTGGTTCCAGGTGGTCCCAGCCTAACAGCTTTCAGCTCTTCATGAGTGTCCCCTTCAAGGCAAGCCTCACCTCTTTTAGAAGGCAAACGCTTACACTGATTTAGGGTCGCTGGAGGCCATTTTACCTTGGGAGTATCGGGGTGTTGGGAGTTGATATAGGGGCAGTACAGGGCAGAAAGCTCAGAGATGGTCTGGGAAACAGTGAAAAAAAGTAAAATTTATATTTGGGTGAGGAGTGCAGCTTTTCCTGTGGAAGTGGTGTGCAGTAACCCAGGGCACTATCCCTGCTGTGAGTCATCAACTTCTGGGTCTCTGGCTCAGACAATCCTAGAAGGCCGGAGCTGAGGGACGTCTGTTGCGAGGTCATCTAGTCCAGCCGCATTTGAGCGCAATCACATTTGAGAGATGTGGAAATCGTTGCGGAGTCCATTTGTGCCCACTGAACATCCATGTGCTTTCCTGAATTTCCCAGCCTTCCTTGCAGAAGGAAGGTAATTAATTCTAGCCAATGACACATATCACTTCCAGGCTCAAAACAGTGAAGACAGGGTGTGCCTCCTCCCT